AAAAATCCGAGATAGCAGTTTTGTAGCCCTGTTAATTCTACACCTTTTACGTTTTATCATTTTTCTGTATCTTTAAAGCTGTAGGCCTGACAGGTCTTCTCGCAAAGGTCTTTTTTTCGGTCGAAAATGACAGAACATGACGTCATTCTGACGTCATTTATGGCCAACCTATCATAGTCTCTGGAGAAATTTTTGGTCACCATGTGTAAAATTGATGCTCGGAGGGGTCCTGAAAGTTTGGTGGCGATATCTAAAGCCGTTTAGGAGATATCGACGGAAAAGGAAAGGGAGGGGCCGTTTCGGCCCCCCCCCCCTCCCTACGGGGCGCGGGTTTTTAAGAGACCTCCCAATGATACTAGGTCCTGTAAGTTTCAGCTCCCTGTGAAAGCTCCTCTGACACTGAGGGTGTTGTGAAGTTGTGACATTTTAGGACCGTGCAGAAGTCTGCTTATGACGTCATAGGTCAGTGACCAGACCTGACCTAAAAATGATATTTTTGTCAACATTTGTATTTGAATTAGAGGTAAGGTATGCAAATTTTCAACTCTATCGCCGCCATGTTCCGTGTTATCGCGAAAAAAACCTATGGGGGGGGGGCGGCACCTGCCCCTCCTCAGCCAGTGAGCTAGGGTTAATGGACGTATTGTAGAAGCCATGCCCTAATCGGCTGAACATGACATCACTCTGACGTAATTTCCGACCGATCTAAAGTAGCTCCAAAGTTTTGCTAACGCAAGGTGCCATATTGATGCGGCCGAAGTTCCTGATGTCGATGCGCCAGTGGTTTGGAAGATATTGCAGAAAAACGGAAGGGGTCTGTAGAGCCTCACAGTCACTACCCAACCCGCACCCACCCCCACCCCACCCCTGCAAGGCATGCGTGGGTTAAAGTCAACGGTTTAGTCTTCAGAGAACAAAAACTGCCACAATCAACGTTTCGAAGAAAATGTTTGTCTGCAATAGGTAACTGTTGATTCAAAGCTGGCACCATATTGATTTTACTGGATCATGTTCCTTCTGTCGAGGCGCAACGAACGAAAAACAATTTGACCTTAAATCGTATTAAGTTTTTAAATTAACCCGCGCACCGACGGGGGTCTGCGCCAACTTCGCACCGACGGGGGGCGGATGACCGCCCCCCCCCCCCGAAGATCTCGAGAACGAAGCAAGATAGCGACAAGCGGTAAACGGCATCGGATACGCACGGTCAAGATCTACAATTTTTACGTAGGTCATTTTCAGGTCAGGTCAAAGATGACGTCACAGGGGTCGAAAAAGTCAAAATGGCGGCGCTAGATATGGAGAGTTTTTCTCGAATAACTTTCGAATTAGTCAAGATAGGAACAAACTAAGGGCATCATCGTGATCCTCTCGTCAATCCGCATCAAATGATATATATGTTGACCTCGAAAGGTCAAGGTCAAAGGCTGACCTCAGGTCACGTGACCTCGAGGTCATCATGTATATCATTCGATGCGTCTTGACGAGCTGAACACAATGAGACCATCCACGCGGCTGTATCTTGTTCCTGTACGGAGTTATTGGCCAAAAACCTTTGGTGACCTTTGATGACGTCACATGACCTCACAGCTGCCCAACAGCAAAACAGACCTCAAGGTAGTGAAGGTTGATCGTATATGAAGTCATGTATGGTATATGGGGCCATTCCGACCCGTTTTAGTGGTAAAAACAGGGAGCTGATTTTTCCCCCATTGACTTATAATGGGGAGGTCGCGAAATTGACCTGACCTTAGGTCACCGATATCAAAATTCCGAGATAAACAAATTGTAGCTACTAATGACCTAATAACATCCTGCGACTTTCAAAGGCCTCCGACATCTACTGTAGCTCTGGCACGGTGACAAAGTTGCAAAAAAGTGACTTGAGGTTGGGTCATTCAAAGTGACCTGGTGACCTGACCTTAAAAGATAGGAGGTTCAAACTTGCACACCATGTGTAAAATTGATTAGGGAATAGTCGTACTAAATTTCGCGGCGCTACGCGCCGCGGTTTTCCCGCTATACGCGAAAACCCTCAGGGGGCGGATATCCGCCCCCCCCCCCCGTCGGTGCGCGGGTTAAGACTAAGGTCATCACTTTAACGGACAATGTCGTGTCGCATATTAGCCGATCCGTACTGTTGAGCTGACCACATCCAAGCTTTCATCGCTCAACATGCAAATATCAAACGTCGTTGTCAAAATCGGCTGAACACCTATTCATGGCCTGAGATGACCTCAGGGACATGCAAAGGGGCCACATTTGCAATTTTTCGATTCATTGACTAATTTTTTATGTTGCCAGATGTTTGAGAGTTTCAGCATGATTTTCACCCAAAAAGAAGCGCAGTTAGATTTTCTCTCCCATTGACTTTTAATGGAAAGGCCTAAAAATTGACCTGACATTAGGTCATTAATACCGAATTCCGAGAAAAACATTTTATGCTTTATCAATCGCTCCAAGTTTCAAGCGAACGTTCAGTCGGTAGCGATATGGAGACATATAACTTTTTCTGAGGTAAGTAGATTCCTGTAATGCAAGAGAGCACCCGTTGGTGAAGACAAGTGACCATCGCTCGCGGTATTCATTCGGGGAAGAACCGCTGCACAATTACGTGCCAGCCGCCATTGTCAGACGTCCCGCAGCGACATGCACCATGCCCTCCGCTCCCACACCTCACCATGAGTCCCCTGGACGTCCAAGTACCGACTCGCTGAAGGACAGGGTCCCAGCCGTCAATTGCTCGGCGGTGCAGCGGCCGAGTCATGGCGGTACGCCCCGGGGCGATCCGCAAACCACACCCAGGGCGTCAGTAGCGCAGAACCGACCGCCACGCCGCCAACTTCAAGGGCAACTCCACGGAACGGGAGCCCTATAAAAGCACCGAGACAGTGTGAGAACCACACACTCACTGGTCAACCTTCCCAGCGTCCGGAGAACTCCAAACTGCAGAGATGAACGCCAAGCTTGCGGTAAGTGACGCCGACGCTGCATCCACACACAGAAAAATATTAACACCGTTAGCGGTGTAATTGCACAGTACATATCTGAGCACTTGAGGAAAGTTAATTTAGTCCCTTCCCCGCTTAAATTACTCGCGCTTCTAAATGAACACCAGGAAGAAGGTAATAGAACACTGTTAGGAGGGTTGGGTGTTTTGCTACACGTAGTAAAACACCCAACCCTCCTAACAGTGTTCTATTACCTTCTTCCTGGTGTTCATTTAGAAGCGCGAGTAATTTAAGCGGGGAAGGGACTAAATTAACTTTCCTCAAGTGCTCAGATATGTACTGAGCAATTACACCGCTAACGGTGTCAATATTTTTCTGTGTGCAGCTTGAGGGACTTGGACTTTCTGGCTTTGTCGAACTCTTCATTTTTCAGCCATCACTCTGACTCCATAGCGAGTAAATGGTTTTATGTTGCTTGCAGTTCGACTGAATCTGATGAGAAGAGAGGGAGGTTGAATGTAAAACCAATATTCAAACAAATAAATGTTTTTTCATGATTCTAAAAAGTTTTCAACAGATGCACATATGCCTGAAGCATTGACGCGTGCTGTTTACATGAATGGATGGTCCCCTCTCCCGCAGCTGCTGTGTCTGGCTGCCCTGGTGGCTGTTGTCTCTGCTAGCGGACACGGATACGGATACGGATACTCCGGATACCGCTCCACCCCTGCCCACTACGGCGGATACCGTCGTGCCGGATACGGCTACGGTAGCTATCGTGGCTACGGCAGCTACGCCCCTCGTAGCTACGGCTACCACGGCCGCCACCGCCGCTCTCTGGGCTACAACTCCTACGGATACGGATACGCTCCTCGCAGCTACGGATACGGACACACCGGATACGGATACGCTCCCCGTAGCTACGGATACGCCTCCCGCTCGTACGGATACGCTCCCCGTTCCTACGGATACGGATACCGCTCCGCCTACTACCACTAAGTACCTATGTCTTTTCTTCCGTGCTTTTGACCTGTCTGACTTTGAACAAGTAAAAATACACTGATGATCATTTGATGCAATAAATGTTCTTTTTAGAGAGGTTGGCCGAATCTCGCATGGTTCATTACAATAACTGCTACGCGACTAAGAGATACTCTTCCTTGAATCGTGCTTCAGTCGCTGAAGCCTCAATCAGGCATCGCCTACAATCAGATAAGGTCGATGCATACAAAGCTCCTGACATGCTGGTGATCTTGTTGAAATCAAATTTGCCTACAGATAAGATGGTTTGCTGTTGCTAGTGCATCTATTTTATGTTTTAATTTTGAGCTTAACTTTCTTATAATAAGAAATGAAATATGTCTAGTAACGTGAAAGCAAAACGTGACTAGGATTTAGGTACAGCTCCTTTGAAACGTTAAATAAATTCAAGTCTTACCGGGCCTTTGCGGCCATTAGAAAATAGCCCCTAACAACAGTACAACTTCACTTAGCAGATTTTATTCATTCGAGCTACATTTGCCAACAGCTTTGATTGCGAAACAAATGCTGACTCTCCGTACACCATAGCCCAAATAACCGTTATAACATGTTTGAAACAATATCGACATTCGACATCAAAGTGACGGCGGAAAGACAGCAAAAGGTCGAAGAAATGTGCGCTTTGTAAGTGTCCATGAATTTGTTTAGCACTGCAAGTACCTATATTAAATAAAATATAATGTAGGCATGTTAATAAGGAACATACTAACTTCATAGCATCGCTCTAGAAAGGGGAAGATTGGTAAAAGGACAAGAAGGATTGCAGCTTATCGATCCACTATAACAAACAGCAGTCTTCGCGTGCAATTTTGCAATGTTGCGTGCTTTGTCGGCTGAGCTATGCATGGATGGGGCGTGGTTGAGTGCGAAAGGACGTCGCAATGTCACAGCTCAGGCTGGCTTAGTTGCTCTAGACTTATCTATTGCGGGCTCTTATGGACCATAACCATAGATAAGCACGCTATACGGGAACAAGCCATCGGGAACATAGGCCATGTCCGCTCAGCGCTATAGCCAGTAAAACGCCTTCTGGGGCGAGCAACAGGGCGAACGAGAGGGTGGGCCTTGCGCGTGCGATATTGCGAGGGGGTACCACCAACTAACTTGTGCACTGCACCATGCTAACCGGTCCCTGGTGATGTGCCAAATTTTAAGCGCAACCAGCCTAGCCGTTTTTTTATAAATGATGAAATACCGACGTGCCAAATGATGAATGATGAATGATGAATAAATGATGATACCAATGTGCCAATTGATGAATGCAATCAGCCTAGCCGTTTTTTATTGAAGCGGCACCCTGCACGTGCGAACGTGCAAAATGGGTCCCAACTGACTTCTGCACGGCACCCTACCAACCGGTGACTAACCATGTACCAAAGTTCAGTGCAATCGGTTCAGCCGTCCTCGAAATCTATAGAATAGACCCCTGCACGTGCGCTCGTGCAGCAGCAGCCCGACTGTGGCACATGGAAATGTATTGCCTAGGCTGTGTGGCTACCTACATGCCAACTTATAGCCGGCCGGCCGCTCATACTCGGAAATTTCCATTTCCCATTAATCTACGAAAGACTTCGCTCGCTCTGTAACCACTTATTTGATCACCAGGACAACACAATCACGTTCCACTATCCCGTGAGCACTTCGATGATGTGGGTAACCGACGTCTGGCGTAAATTTATGCGCACCCTCTACACCCTGATTTATATTTGATTTATGAAAATTTATGGTAATCTGCAATTGGTATTTGCTGTCAATTGAATGTGTTCATTGAACAGCTTCTGATTAGTCCTTCGAGTGTGAGCCAATAGCCTTTTCAGTTTCCATTGTGCCGGGAAGTGGGTAGACCATCCATTATATACCCCGCAATTGACAACTATTAATTTCTTGAATGATGAATCTAGGTGATCGTCGTGACATGTGCTTCGAGTGAAGTCAAGGGTGTCAAAGTTATTGTACTCGCAATGCATGTGGGGCTACCACCGCTGCAGGTGCTACGTGCAAAACGTTCCCATTTTATTCAACAATGACTGCACATACTTGGCCGATTGCGCTGGAACTTGGCACCAGAGCTGCGGAGTTGAGAGTCGGATTTGGAGACGAATTTTGGAAGCCAGAGTCGGAGTCACCGAGAATCTATCGATTCCGCTGTCCTTCTTAGCATGTTGGGAGGCACCCACCGGGTAACGCATTCCTCTGTGTCACAGCTAAGGTGCGCACGGTAAAATGCTTTTTCTATATCTCCAAAATAGATAGGTCGATGGTGCTAAAAATTGGCACACGGTTAGCGACCAGTTACCTATACCTAGTCTGTTTCCATGTCCAGCTTGCAGCCGAAATGCTCTGCTGAAAGCAGTGCTTGATTTCTGTACATATAGCTCTTACATTCAGATACGCTTGTTTTTAACGGAGGAGCGAACTGCCTAAGGATTTAAGGAACTCCGGCCGCAAGCTTGACATGGAACAGACTACAGTACAAAGAGTGGCCCACACAAGTTCGTGAGAGGTACCATTTCGTAATTCACAAGTGCATTGCTTACTCTCGCCCTCGCTTCGACGATGGAACAACAAATATAGGTACAATCTTCAAACCAGCCATTTCATTGTACAAAAGCAAACATTCATACCAAACAGCAATTAAAAATTATAACCGTGAATAAATTTCCACAACAATCTTCCAAAGCAACTATAGCTATCATCATCTCCATTTATCTTTGTAACTTCCCACAATACACCTTGCTCACCAAAAGCATCCCAAGCTAAGACATGCGTTTTTTTTCTTCCGACAACGGTTCCTAATACATTTTGCGCTTCAAGTCGAGTTAACCCGCGCCCCGCTGGGTAATTCAGCCATACGCGCCCTGCTGGGGGGGGGGGGGGGCAGATTCTGCCCCCCCCTGTCTAACTTCCGAACCAATGGTCGTAGAAAGACGGGGAAAACGGCAATCGAAAGCTCTCAACAAGGCGGATCTAAAGAGCCAATTTTTTTTTGCTTAAGTAGGTCAGAGGTCAGGTCAAGGTCAGGTCAAGGGTACAAAATGCAAGTTTCTACAGTATCGGCCTTGCACCGTAGTTGCCGAAGAATGGACTGTGACTGATTGTCCAAAAAGTGTTCTTAGACTACCAAGACAATATTCGTTGCATGCAATGTCATTCAAAGGTCAAGGTCAAGGTCAGGTCAGGTCAGGTCAGGTCACCTGAAATATAGAAAATATAGAAAAGAAAATATAGAAAAGGGCATGTACGACACATGTTTTACCTATGGGTCATTTTACTCATAGAATTCAATAGGCACACTCAATAAGTGATATGGACCACCTCTGGATGAATTTCAGGTCGAGGTCAGGTCAAGGTCAGGTCAAGTGAGGTCAAATTTTGAAGTTGGTTGTTAAGGCCTAAAAAGGTGTCTATCCGATGCAGTTTTTCACGGCGAATCGAATGGTGCTGTTTTTGTTTTCGTACGAGGTCTAGAACTTCTAAAAATTCATTTTTCAAAATTTTTGTGTGTCGTGACGTCATAAAATTTTGAATAACTACCACATTTTTAACCGATTCTTCTAAAAATTGGTATGTAGGTGCACATAGACTACTTCTCTGACATATATTCCGGTTTTTTCGATACACTCAAAATTTTGGATTTTATCATTTTTTCCCAAAAAAAGTCAGTTTTTTGAAAAAATTTGGGCCAAAATCCAAAATTTTCAAAAAACCGAGATAGCCATTTGATAGACAAAGTAAAATCGCGTATAACCTTTTTTTTGTTACGTCTTGATTCCTTTAAAAATGAAGATGTTAGCGGCGTTTGAAATTTTGCCATTTTTGAGGCGAAAATGGCGAACATGACGTCACAAAAACGTCAGTTTCTCAAAAAATTTCCGACGGATTTCGCTCAAATTTTCAGTGAACATGTCAAATTGATGTATGATAAGGTACTGAAAGTTTGACGTCGCTGGCGTAACGCGTTTTGAAGTTATTGGCGAAAAACGGGAGGGGGCAGATTCTGCCCCCCCCCCCCCAGCGGGGCGCGGGTTAACAATGCCATAAAATTAGAGATTGTTACCGATTGAAACGCTAGCCTCCTCACCACTCAATCCAACATCAGGGCTATGTTGTCTAAATCTGTCTCGTAGGGCTCTGCCGTCTAAATCAGCGCTAAATCTGGCTCGCTTGTTTGTAGCTACCTTGTTATAAACAACATGCAAACGCAACTTTTGCCACAGAATCACCGCAAAGCGCCGTACCAGCTGCGCTTCAAAGATGAACACCACCAATGCCAGGCCGTACCCAAACAACAGCAGAAGGAAGGGCCCCCGAACATGCTGCAGGCTTATTTTCTTCACGTGGTCCTTGTCGCGACAGTGTGCCACGCTGGTGAGACACGCCTCGACGTTGGCTCTCACTGCCCGCAGGTGTATTCCGTGGAGGGCGTCCTGGAGCCACTTCTGGACGAGTCCGGCGGCCGAGAGTCGCAGGATGGCGTGGCTCAGGGCGTGTCGATAGGGCGCGTTCCGCTGCACAGGGATGGCCAGCGAGGTGGGCATGAAGCGGTCCCGGCTCGGCACCAGGTCCTCCCTCCACAGCGAGCCGTTCGTCTTCAGCGCCATCCAGCTGAGGACGTACTCGAAGAAGGCGTCTTCGAACACGTGCGCGCGACTGAAGGTGGCCGGGGAGCTCAGAGAGGTGGCCAGGCGGGTCTCCATCACCAGCTTGGAGCGCACGCGGGAGAACACTGCGCTCTCTCTGGCGTGCAGCCACTCGAGGAAGACCTTGTTGTTGGGGTTCACAGCCAGCTGGTAGTCGCTGTCGGCCAGCTCCTCCATGGTCTCCACGGGCCGTCCGGGCGCGCCGTTCACCAGGAACGAAGTCAGGCTGCTGGTGTAGCTGCAGGCGATGATGAAGCCGATCAGCATCCACACGCCGATCAGCAGACGATCGGCGAGAGCCAGGTAGGTGTTGGACAGGCTTTGCCCCAGCAGAACCCGGAAAGTGTCCAGCAGCGCGGCGTCGAGGCGGGATCTTCTCAGCACCATCAGCGCCACAGAGACTGCCAGTAACGTTCCGATCACCGTGGCCCAGAGAGAGGGCGTGAAGGGCGCCACCACGGTCAGGTAGGCGGGCAGCGGCGGCGGCCGGCGAGACACGAACATGGAGCGCACGATGGTGAACTCCTGAAGGAAGTGGACCGCGTCGGCACGCTCGGCCGTCACCGACATACCTCCGAGGGCCAGGTCGGCCTCGGCGCGCACCACGCTCGCCAGGAGACCGTGCCACGTGCCGTTTTTGTAACTACCCCAGACACGTCTTGGGTGTTGACGCAGCTCCGTCGAGAAGTTGAAGTGGTCTGCCAGAGAGGATAATATGTTCGTCTCTGGACGAGGCAGCGGCGCTGGACAGGTTCCATTGTCAGTGAAGTTCAGACAATACACATAAGGGTAGTAGTTCAAAAACTCCACGCTTAGAGTAACACCGCCAAGATTTTTGGTTTGTGCCATTCCCGGGTTGATGAGCGTCAAGTTTCCAAAGGAAAACAGCGCAACTTTTCTTATATCCACATCCATTGTGGTGAAAGTGATGCGGCGCCATACTCTCCAAGCATTAGTTTGAAACTCAACGCACAAAGGAAACGGAGTCTTGTTGAAAAGGGTCAGCGCTAGCGCTTCACTGCAGGCCACCCCGTCCGGTGGAAGAAGAAGCACTGCTGCGCTGGCCCAATGTCGAGGAACGCTCTCCCCGGGCGGTCGTAGACAGTCTGCGGAGCCGGCCCAGAACAGCAGGGTGCCGCCGGACGGCCGGTACAGACCGGCGCCGAGCTGCTGGTGGCACGGCCGGCACAGCTCGGCCACGGTGCAGCCGCGCGGACACGGCAGCCGGCGCAGCAGGCCCGTCAGCGCCCGCTCCGAGATGTTGCCGCAGGGCAGCACGTGCAGCGGAGTGGCCGGGAGCTCCCCGGCGGCGGACAGATGGGAGATGAGCTCGGAGAGGGAGCTGGCCCGCTGCAGCTCGACTGATGGGCTTGGTGAAGACGCCGCGGTCACTCGAACACAAAACGCCAAAAGTAATACACTGAGCACAGCCATCAACGGATTCTGCTCTGAGCAGTGCTGTCCAGCTCCAGTTTCGTGTGATCTTCTCTCGTGATGCATTTTCATTTCAGTTCTCAAATGACACACTGAACACCGCAAATAAAAAATGAGGGTAATAGTGCTGGTTTTGTAAAATATGTGCGTTTGTAAATCCCTGCCGCATTTCACACTTACCTATATATTGTTATGTCCGGTAAGTACCATTAATATCTAATTCTATCGTTGAATTGGAAATTGTTCGTTACCTTCACCACCTGTTTTAGAGCCGTACTGGAATTAACCCTCGCATGTGTAGGGTGGTCGGATGGACCCCCCATGGTTTTTCGCGAATAACTCGCGCAAAAAGCGGCGGATCGCGACGAAACTTTCAGTGCCCTCGAGTTGATCGATTTTACACCTACGCTGAAAAATTCATGACCCTGACCTAAGTGACCTTTGACCTGTGACCTATTTCTCGAGGCCATGTATGGCCGGAATCGCGATTCGGCGTATGCCGGCTCGCATTAGCCGCGCGTTTGCAAGCTTCTCGTGGTTTCAAACGCTCAAACGTGAGATTTGATGTTGCTCCCATGCATTTGGGTGGTTGTCAAGGTAACCTGAAGGTCAGGTCAGGTCATTGACCTTTGGTGACCTCGGTTCCCTTTTTCGAGCTGTACATGTTTCTAGGCTAGTTTTTGGAGCTGAATTCGAATTTAGCAGCCATTTGAGCATTTACGAAGTAGTTTTGCTGTCTTCATAACATGCTACGAATCTGTCAGAGGCGGTTGACACCTACTTCGAATACCCGTCACGACCCCTACTGGTTGACCTGACCTGACCTGACCCGACCTGGTCTAAATGCTTAAAGACATCATCTGTCATCAAAACTAACACGATATTCGTGATCAGCGCCCCGAAAAACACTTCAGCAGCCACACTTTACGACTTTCTAACAGGTCTTGATTTTCCCGACTTTGGGTCATTGACCTGGAAGGTCAACCAATGACCTAGGACCTTGAAATTGGGTATCATCGGCTTCCTCTTGTCACGGGCAACACGCTCGTTTTTTCCGCGAAGCTCTAGCTCGATCAGGGGCCAAACGGCAAGGGGGTTCCAACCGACCCCCTCCCCTACACATTAGAAGCTGGCAAACGCCGCACACATGCGAGGGTTAAGTTATCTGATATCGACTGATCAGTTGTTATGCTGTTAAAAATCACGCTTACTCTCCATGAAAACTCGGCCCCTCGAATCTCGATGCATTGATTTGATGAAGCCCATACCTACCATGCCTATTGCCTATTTTGATTTACCCATTAATAAGCTAAGAAATAGTTTCCGTTGGAATGTAAGTAATAACAAATGTACAAGTTCAGCTCCTTTTACTGCTTTCTTAGCTTTTCAGGAATATAAAAACTAAGGAAATCAAAGCATGGAACAATTGTGAGGAAAATAATTAAAAACGCGTGATGTTCTGTTCGTTATTTGGTGACATCAGATTTGATGATGTTAAAGGGACCCTCCCACCTTAACATTAGATTTGAGTTGAGATAGCCAAAATGGGGTCCCTGGCTCACAATTACCGGTTTCGGCACTCACAACATCGAGAAATGCCTTAAATCGGAAATATTTAATTTCAAAATTGCAGCATTTTGATTCAGAGGGGCTAATGCATAGGAATACCCCTCTGAATGTGTGACGTCATCGCATATATCTAACGATTTTTAAATGTTTGACTAAAACGTTTTGTAGCACGCGGTGGTATATGCTGCTTTGCGCGCAACAAATGCCGCACTTTCAAATAAAGTCGCTAGGAACAGCGGAGATCCCAAAAAGTAAACAAAAGTAAAAGTCTAATATCTTGAAAACCGGTGAATATTTTTCGATGAAATTTGGTAGATATTCGTTTTTGCTCTTTCTGAACCGAGCGACATCACTTTCATGCCAATTCATTAACTTTTTTGAAGGTGGGAGGGTCCTTTTAAAGAAACATTAGATGTAGGTACCTACGAGTAAGAAATACGGCCAGGAAAAAAACGAAACATACAGCATCAGTCCGACGCGTTTGGATTTTTCGCGATGTGTTTTCTGGCCCGTGCAGTGGACCGTTGAATGCAATTCGAATGCTTAAATGCTGAATACATATGCCACTGAGTGCATCAAATACATGGCTCTGTATGTACGGACCCGGGTCCGAACAGAATGGATAATGCCTGCAAAGCTACTTAATGTCGCACGTCACATGCACAATACAAAGTTTGAGTTCTCGCATTGAAGTCTTCACCCACACACCGAAGGGGGTCCGGGCCAACTTCGCATCGACACAGGGGGTGCGGATGTTCGCCCCAGACCATGGGAATGAAGCAGCCTAGCGACAGCGGTAAACGGCTTTAGATACAGGTGAATAGGACTGCCATCTCACAAAGGTCATTTTAGCTCAGATCATAGATCATGTCGCAGGAGTCACGTGTCCATGATGCATTAGAAAAAATTAAAGTTTTTTTACGAATAACTTTAAAACAAATCAAGCTAAACAAAAAAATAGAACATCAGAGATGTACTTATCGGGAAAACATTTTTGATTTCTCTCGAAAAGTCAAGGCTCATAACCTTCGGTCACGTGACGTCAAAGGTAAATGATGGCCAAAATAAGTGAAAATACGGGCCATTCGAAGCGTCTTGACAAGTTAAACACATAAACACATAAGTTAAAGGGACCCTCCCACCTTCAAAAAAGTTAATGAATTGGCATGAAAGTGATGTCGCTCGGTTCAAAAAGAGCAAAAACGAATATCTACCAAATTTCATCGAAAAATATTCACCGGTTTTCAAGATATTAGACTTTTACTTTTGTTTACTTTTTGGGATCTCCGCTGTTCCTAGCGACTTTATTTGAAAGTGCGGCATTTGTTGCGCGCAAAGCAGCATATACCACCGCGTGCTACAAAACGTTTCAGTCAAACATTCAACGGACGTTCGAAAGCCTGATGACGTCATCAGATTCCCGTAATGGTTAAGAGATAGGGACCACGCTGGTCCCACCCTGCAAGTAAAGGGAAGAAATTTCTTGAACACCATAAAGCTGCGGGGGTTGCGACCAGGATAAATGGTGGTTTCTGAGCCTGGCCGCAAACTTGGCTATCTCAACTCAAAACTAATGTTAAGGTGGGAGGGTCCCTTTAAAGCACCCCTTTGAAGACCTGTCAATAAAGGTCGAAGTACAGGGAAAAATAACTTCTTTACACCCAGAGTCAGTCCGCTAAACGATTTATTATCATTAATATGCCTGGGTTTAACCCGCGCACCGACGGGGGGGGGCGGATATCCGCCCCCCCCCTGAGGTTTTTCGCGAATAGCGGGAAAACCGCGGCGCGTAGCGCCGCGAAATTTGGTATGACTATTTCCTTATCAATTTTACACATGGTGTGCAAGTTTGAACCTCCTACCTTTCAAGGTCAGGTCACCAGGTCACTTTGAATGACCCAACCTCAAGTCACTTTTTTGCACCTTTGTCACCGTGCCAGAGCTACAGTAGATGACGGAGGCCTTTGAAAGTCGCAGGATGTTATTAGGTCATTAGTAGCTACAATTTGTATATCTCGGAATTTTGATATCGGTGACCTAAGGTTAGGTCAATTTCGCGACCTCCCCATTATAAGTCAATGGGGGAAAAATCAACTCCCTGTTTTTACCACTAAAACGGGTCGGAATGGCCCCATATACCATACATGACTTCATATACGATCAACCTTCACTACCTTGAGGTCTGTTTTGCTGTTGGGCAGCTGTGAGGTCATGTGACGTCATCAAAGGTCACCAAAGGTTTTTGGCCAATAACTCCGTACAGGAACAAGATACAGATGCGTGGATGGTCTCATTGTGTTCAGCTCGTCAAGACGCATCGAATGATATACATGATGACCTCGAGGTCACGTGACCTGAGGTCAACCTTTGACCTTGACCTCTCGAGGTCAACATATATATCATTCGATGCGGATTGACGAGAGGATCACGATGATGCCCTTAGTTTGTTCCTATCTTGACTAATTCGAAAGTTATTCGAGAAAAACTCTCTCCATATTTAGCGCCGCCATTTTGACTTTTTCGACCCCTGTGACGTCATCTTTGACCTGACCTGAAAATGACCTTAGTAAAAATTGTAGATCTTGACCGTGCGTATCCGATGCCGTTTACCGCTTGTCGCTATCTTGCTTCGTTCTCGAGATCTCAGGGGGGGCGGTCATCCGCCCCCCCCCCCCCCCCCGTCGGTACTAAGTTGGCGCAGACCCCCGTCGGTGCGCGGGTTAAATATGACTTTACAGTCTAATATAAGTCAAACACAATATGATAAGTGACAACGCCCAGAGCTGAACCACATTTATGTAGGAAGTAGGTAGGTAAGTAGCAAATTAACTAGAAGATGTATACCTACAGCTAAAATATGAATGATACGAGCTGAGCGCTGCAACTTTGCGACTTTAGGGCTCACCAGTATATCGTATGTTCAAACGTTCTAGCAAGCTAGGGATTTAGCAAACGCACTATTTTCCCCCCAACACATTGCCCTTTTTATACTAATCCTTCGGAGAACTAGGCGAGCAAGCAGGCCTGAACCCAATCGATTGGGCTAACTCGCGATAGTTTACCGCAAACAAACTGTCGACTGCACCGAGTGATTCACACACCGCGCCGCTGCTACGACCTCCACCGTTCACTCCGATAGGACTCGCGCTCGCCGCGATGCTGTGACCTCTCGGTTCCACGGTTCGTGCGCTCGCCCTGCGGCCGATGGGAGTGGCCACCCAGACACCCAGTCTGTGGCCGACTGGCGTGCTGCTTATGGCGGCGGCGTAGCGTCTTATTAGCGCCCCTCGCGTGTGTCGTGGCCCGTGGGAGGCCGGGCAGAGGGGCATCAGACCACCGACAGACACGAGTCGTAGGACTAAACAAAAGGTCGATAGGACCCCTGGCTAAATTGGCTGGGTACAATGGTCTGGAATCGAAGTTATAGCATTGTTAAATGTAAAGTCTGTTTTGAAAGTCACCGAAACCATTGACCTGGGGAATGGACGAGGATGTCAATTGCTTCGGTGACTCAAATTTAGCAGGCCCTTCCTCGGTCAGGCTTGATGGTTCCACCGTTACTTTGCGCAGTAGGTACTTTTAAGACAGACTGTACACAACGACAACAACATTAGGTGGGCATAAAGCCGGCTATTGTTTTTTGTGTTGCTTCAATAGTTTAACTTTTTTATTTGATCCATTGCGATCTCACCATTTTACCTTTTTTTTTTCGCCATGGAGGTGTTTCCAATTTCCATTATCAAAGCCTGTTGAATGATGAATCATACTGTATGCGGGCACATGTACGAGCGTATGCCTATCGTAGTGCTTGCAATCAGCGACTTAACATCAGCAATATGGAAATGGAAAGCACCCAAAGTCGCGGCAAGCATGACGGCGAAAGGCTATCACCTTCAATCACTCTGCCTGATTCACGACCGCCAACGTTCCATTAGCACAGGAGGGGTGGGGCCCATCCGATCGACCACGGCTGCCTGCGGAAGTGTGCCCGACTCCAATCAACACAGGAAGTCGGATAGGTGTGCCGATTGTGACCGGGGCGCGGGTCAGGCGCGCACCTCCAGTCGGCCAGTCTTCCGTCGACACAGCCACAATGTGGAAGCTTGTCGTGAGTTGGCAGCCGTGGGGAGCGAAATCAAAAGTTGTGGCTAACTTTGCTCTCTACCTATTTGTCATACGTGCTTTCATTCGGATAAATTTTTGTCTACATCTAAAGGCATGGGCGGTTCAAAGTTAGATTGACATGATCGTGTAATAGTTGTTGAGGAGGCTGGAGGCGCCGTGTATGACGCTGCTTTCTGCTGCAGGTGCTCCTGGTGGCCGCCGGCTCTGTCCGGTGGCAGGGTGGACAGGCTGCGTCTTATCCGCCGCCGGGTGCACCCAAAGGCAGCGACCCCGGCGGCCCAGCCCCTTACAACAAACCTCTTGGAGAAATCTCCGACAGCCAGTCTCGTGACGGAGGGCAATATGACGGCAGTTCCTACAGCAGCAGCAGCAGCAGCAGCAGCAGCAGCAGCAGTGCTGGGTGAGTGCACGTGCCTCAGTGATCCGATAATCCTACAGGTGCACGCATATTATGTCATTATGTGCCATATGCAAGGATGAGTGAGTTGGTTTTACAATTCAGGTGCTCGGTAATACCTACCCACACACCAGCACCACTGAGACGACAGAGCGAAAATTCATGAAAATATGGATAATGATGGATATTATTTTGTTTCCGGAGCATTGTTTTTGAAGAAGGTAATAAATTTACGACTAAACGTCTTATTTGCACTTCGCTTATCAACAAAACTGACAACAGAGTGATTTCTTTACAGATCGCAGCTTTCTTCTCTCTCGCCCGATAAAGTGTTCGCCATCCGGCGCCTGAGTGAGTCCATCCGACTTCACGCCTCGGCGACGGCGGCTCCGTTCTATCCGGATTTCCAGCCCGGCGTCCCGGCGCCACCCTACCCCGGCCCCGGCTGGATCTGGCCAGCCGGGCCGCAGTATTGGGGGGCTAGCGGCACGCGCTACAATGGAAACGCGGGCACCACCTACCCTGGAAATGGTGGTACTTACTACACTGGAAACGGAGACACCCGCTTCTCAGGAGCCAGTGGGACGCGCCACACTGCAAACGGCGGCACCACCTATTCTGGCAACGTCGCCCCATACTACCCTGGACCGTACCAGCCTGCAGGGGCAGTGAGCGGCCCCAGAAACAGCCGGGCTCCGGGAGCGGCTGGTGCTGACTCCGCCGGCGCCGGAGACGAGGGTGCTGAAGAGCGGCGCGTTGGGACGGTGACCGGGGCCTGAGTCGGTGATGTGAGCTGTCCGGTGGCCCGAGGCTGAGAGAAAACGATGACCGTCGACCGGGATTTGAGAGGGGGACTGTAGCCTGCCTGTGGCTAGGTGGACAAAGTTACTGAGATACGGAGATGGCGGGGGAATCGGGAGATGGCCTCTTGCACCAAATTACCTAGCTAGGTGAAACCGAAAATTGGAAAAACTATTTCATAATTAGCCAGCCTACGGTGGCAAATTATTTTACGCCAGCTCATAACGTAAGCCTATAGGGCTAGGCGGTTGGCAGAATTTATCGATAAATTGTCGCGGTAAAGTCTTTGAGTCCAAAGATCGGTAGAGGACGATGGTGCAGGAGGCTGGTACGGTTGTTTAGCGAATATTGTTTACCCATCTATAACCTCTTTGCATGGCAAATAAAGGTAACAGAATGTGGCAGCTAATCTGGAAGCTGTTTCCTGCGACGTTTAACAACGCAGTGTACAAGTGGCGCAATTGATTCATATAAACCACCAACTTCCTTATGAGAAAAAGCGGAAAAAGCTCTCGTGTTTTTTGTGACGTAGCTGTCTGTTCTTACTTCCTAAATTACGATTGATTCGTGTTGATATGTATATGTTAATATTAGATGAAATATTATTGCCTATACCCTTCCCATATTTATTCCTGTTGTTATGGGCTATTGAATAAAGCAACTAGAGCAAATTTTATATGTGCCTTCCCTTCAAGATTGTGACGTCATTGAAACTCTGAACAAATTGTAGGTACCAGTGAAGTGCATCCTTGGATTTCAATGCTGTCCTCTCGACGCGCGCGCGTCGGCAAGTCAAAGTTGTCTGTTGAAAGCGCTAGTAGATGTAATTTAAGTAAGATAATTCGTTGTTAGGAAGGAATTATTGTTGAGAAATTAAGGTAAGTTGTGAAACTCGTCTCATTACCACAATTGCAAAAATATGTTAAGCTACCTATAGACTCAAATTTAACACTGTTAAGTGTTAGGTGACACCTTGACCTACCTTAAAATGAGGGTCACCCAACTGATCAAATAATACCATTGCGGTATCATCTGAGTCATCTGTAATCTGTACCCTTTGCCCACATCAGGCCATTGCTCTCCGCCAACCTTGCTGTCGCCGGGCTGGGGCTGTCTGAACACCCCTCGACCAACTCAGCTCCTGTGCCACGTTGACGTAGCAACACAAGGTTGAGGTAGTGGCATTCAAAATGGCTTTGAAAATCACGATAGAAGCATTTAAGTCATTTCTTAGGTCGGGTTATAGGTCAAATCACCAGACTCCAGAGTCCAGAGGTTGATACACTCCTAGCAGACGTCGCCCTTGGCACTGTTCGGCGGCCGGCTAGTACTCTTGCCGGCTCGCATATACGTGCTGGTTGTCCCGGCAACGGGCTATTGACCAATGAGAAGCGCACTCCTGGAGGCACAGGTATATGAAAAACCGCAGTGACGTTGCACTTTCCTCGCCTCTTATTGCTCAATAGCCTGTCGCGTGGGCAACCAGCACATGTGAGCACCGGCTAGAGTATTAGTTGGCCACCGAGCAGGGCCCTTGCTGCCATATCTATAAACCACATTGTGTGCCGCATTGTCTTTTCACAGCTCAATATATAGCAAAACAATCTAACCTGACTTAACCCTACCTACAGCTGTTATATATATGCATTAGGTCTGATTGCCAAAGTGATTATAAAAACATACCACACAATGTATTTTGACGGTTTGACCTGATTTCATATCTGATAGTTATTCATGGCGCAACCAAGTTTTAAAGCATCTGTGCAATATTTACTTTCACCACTCACCACAGGCCACTACCGCACTCCACCAGCCGTTCGCATCACATGGAAAGAATCGAATAAATAAACTCCAAGGTTGAGTGAAAAGGTATTACGCTATTCAATTTTTTTATGAAAGTGATATCATGATAATACTTGTGATGTTTTAGGGTGTTTTGAATCATGTTCATTCAATATTTGAATTATCTTTTATTTTTTCCCATTGACTTATAAAGGAGAGGGCAAAAGTTTATGGTTTGCCTGACCTTAGGTCACCAATATCCAAAGTCTGAGATAATTTTTGTAGATACTGTGAAGATACTGTCACTGTTGTGAATCACTGAAAGTTTCAAGACGATCGTTAAGTCGGTGTAGCTATGACAAGCATTCTAAATTTTCTGAGGTAAGGTCTTTTGAAGTGACCTGGTGACCTGACCTTTTGCGACCTGGGACTGAAGCTATCACGACATGTGCGGAGAAGATGCAGAAACACGTGGCTATTTATTGACGTATCTGCGAAAAACCACGGAGAGTCTGAACAATCCCAGGCCTGGCGTGGGTTAATCCTTGGATTTGAAGCTCATTATCAAATAAAGGTGACCGTTCAGCCAGGATCAAAGGACAATAAATCTTGAGAAGGGTTTGCGCGCCCTGAGGATCGAACAGAAAAAATGGAGGAAAATGTGAGAAATAATGTCACTTTGTCCCAGAGAGGTGAAATCTTGAATCAAAGGCTTCCTTTGATGACATTTGATTTATGGTTGGCCACTAAGTGTGTGGGTCATGAGTATGACAGGATGGGTACCCACCTAGGTCGCTGGGATTCTTGTGTCGCTGGGCGGAGTGGAGCTGATTCGCGGACAATGATAGACTGGAGAAGATTTTGCAGATGCCAAAAATGTTCACCAGAGTATACAAATGTTTGACAGACTACGATAATTTGTGCTTACGAACAACTGTAGGGTGAATAAATGCGTGCAAAAATCACGATACAAAAATAAGAAGGATATTGAAGGAATAAAAAAAAATGTGAGAAAAAGATCAGCCTGGACAGATGGAGGGCCTAGTGGTGGTAGTTCGATCTGGTTCGATCTAGCCTCATCATGGCAATGTTACCATGATTCCACAAGGATGGCATCAGTAAGACCTTATGTGTGGTTCACCTATGCTCATTTGTTTTGTTTTTCAGATAGGTATGTCCAAAAACAAGTTGAACCTCACCCTTCCATCAATAGCAGCAAATGTGAACGGACCCGATGCCACCAGCCCTCCCAACAAGACACCTTCCGAGTGAGTATCAGCAGTTTAACCCTCGCCGTCGTACCTACCGGTTCCTCTTCATATTGGTTTTTGTTCCAAGTTAACCATGCATAGCGCTGATACAACCCCAGCATTGCCACCATAACTATAAATCGCTTCTTTGTTACCTTTTGAGACCCCACTTTTACCGCACCATAACCGTCAAAGCCCTTCACTGTTGCCACGGCTATCATGTGTCACCGTGCTTTTGCCTTCCTATTACCATCACACTTTACCTGCCTTGTACCGTACTGCGTTACCATTACCACCATGCCCTCTCCGCGGTTACCATGCCCCCGTCTCCGCCAGTCCCGCGGTGCACGCCAGCGTCGTGAGCGGCGCCTACTCGGAGGATGTGATCGCCAAGATGCAGCAGATGCAGCTGGATGACACGACGCGTCGCCGGCTGGAGAGCTTCCTGGAGCAGAAGCAGCGCGTCGGGGGTCTGCTGCAGGCCGAGGACCTCGAGAAGCTGGGAGAGCTCGGCGCCGGTAATGGAGGTGTGGTCATCAAGGTGCGGCACAAGCCCACCGGCATCATCATGGCTAGGAAGGTGAGTCGCGGTGGGGGCGGGGGGGGGGGGAACTGGGGAGTTGTACGGCCCGAAGGAAGGGGTTGATGCTGTATTTCAAAAATTTTAACACTGGGAGCCATAAGAAGGGGAGGTGTGCTGTCCGCTTAGGTTGTTAGATAAGAGAAAGGAACGGTAGCTGGTCAATCAGCGATGTCATTTGTTCAGATGAAATATGACAACGTAGAATGCTGCGAAAAGAACAGAGCGTTTAGACTAGAAATTGCGGAGGCTATCCAGCATGCCTGCTGACGCCATTCTTGACACACGGCCGTTCTGCAATCTGACACTTCTGTCCCGACCGACACGCTGTTTTTGTGGCACACTACCGCTGCCGCTCCAACAATGTTGTGCGCTGACTCGCTATAATGACGTATGACTCGTAATGACTCGCTGAGCTGTCCTGACACATCGCCGTCGATCGTTTACAGTTGATTCACCTGGAGGTAAAGCCGGCCATCAAGAACCAGATTATGCGCGAGTTGGAGGTACTCAATCAGTGCTTTTCGCCGCAAATCGTCGGCTTCTTCGGCTCCTTCTACAGGTAGGTGGGAAACCCGCTCAGCGTACAACTCTGAGCGCCCTTGTGGCAGCAAAATGCACTTACATCTATCAAGCACGCATTGGGCCGTTCTTGGTAAACTTCGATCTAGCATTACACCTACAAAACCTACCATTACACCGGTAATGATTTCCGTTGTAACAGCACACCGGTGATTTAGACCTACCAGTGATTGGCATCGGAGCATTAGCCAGTGCTGCCAAGTTAACCCGCGCGGGGCTGGGGGGGGTAAATTTTACCCCCCCCCCCCTCGCGAATTTTTGCGATATCTCAAAAACGGCGGCGCGCAGCGCCGCCAAACGTTCAGTACCTTTTCTTACATCAATTTGACACGTTCCCTGAAAATTTGAGCGAAATCCGTCGGAAAATTTTTGAGAAATTGACGTTTTAGTGACGTCATGTTCGTCATTTTCGCCTCAAAAACGGCAAAAGTTCAAACGCCGCTAACATCTTCATTTTTAAAGGAATCAAGACGTAACAAAAAAGGTTATACGTAATTTTACTTTGTCTATCAAATGGCTATCTCGGTTTTTTGAAAATTTTGGATTTGGCCTAAATTTTTTCAAAAAACTGACTTTTTTGGGAAAATCATTATAAAATCCAAAATTTTGAGTCTATCGAAAAAACCGGAGTATATGTCAGAGAAGTGGTCTATGTGCACCTACATACCAAATTTTAGAAGAATCGGTTCAAAAATGTGGGAGTTATTCAAAATTTTATGACGTCACGACACACAAAATTTTTGAAAAATGACTTTTTTGGAAGTTCTAGACCTCGTACGGAAACAAAAATAGCACCATTCGATTCGCCGCGAAAAACTGCATCAGATAGACACCTTTTTAGGCCCTAACAACCAACTTCAAAATTTGACCTCACTTGACCTGACCTTGACCTGACCTCGACCTGAAATTCATCCAGAGGTGGTCCATATCACCTATTGAGTGTGCCTATTGAATTCTATGAGTAAAATGACCCATAAAACATGTGTCGCACATGCCCTTTTCTATATTTTGTTTTTTGGTGACTTGACCTGACCTGACCTGACCTTGACCTTGACCTCTGAATGATATTGTATGCAACGAATATTGTCTTGGTAGCCTAAGAACACGTTTTGGGCGATCAGTCTCAGTCCATGACTCCATTCTTCGGCAACTACGATGCAAGGCCGATACTGTAGAAACTTGCAATTTGTACCCTTGACCTGACCTTGACCTTGACCTCAAACTTTAAATTAAGTACATGTTTTTAGTAGTTCGTGATTAGAGCTTTCGATTGCCGTTTGAATTTTCCAAATCGGACCGTTAGTTCGGGAGATAACAGGGGGGGTAAAATTTACCCCCCCCCCCCCCAGCCCCGCGCGTTCGGCTGGAGACCCCAGCCCCGCGCGGGTTAAGTTTCCTCCACGTATAGGAAAGTGCAGGTCAGTTTACCAACCCATATCATTTCGTGAATCTCACTGTTACTTTTATGCCGTCGGCGAATTTCGCCGCAGCCGTGTTAAGTGTAGACTGTAGGGTATCATCCAGGGAAGGTTTCGGCATTAATGAAGGCATCGAAGGTAATGTGTGGTTCCCCGTAAAATGGCGCCACAAGAACCTCTAACTAGTTAATTATTAACAGTGATGTCAGTCCTGGCGAGCTTTGCGTTGTCGTGCAGTTCATAACTGCCCTGTAGCTGGTAGACTATGCTAAATATATCCGCGATATTTCGGGTCACATGCAGTGTACACACATGCGTTCACCAGAGAGGTATGCTATGCTATTCATTTACTGATCGTGGCTGACGGAATGATGGTTGGAATGAAACCCGTGAGTTAGTCGGGAAGGGGATGGCAGGATCTGGCTGATGAATGGGGGTGAGAGCGATAACAGGGAGGGGAGGGGGCGGAGACCGAGAGCCGGAAGTTTTCGTTGGAAGCTGCAGAGGCTCGATCGCACGAACCCCGATCAGGTTTGAAGTATTTATAGGTGTTTCGCCTCTTATCTCATGCCTCCCGACGCCTTTGATTTGTCAGATGCATGGGCCAGTCAGGCACGGCGACATTGTTGGTTTGTTGTTTGTGAGGTGACCCTAGGCCCTAGCCGACCTAACACTGAAACTGATGAGGCGATTGCTGCTCTCACGGCCCTTCATGGTTAAAAAAAAAAACGTTTTGCATCACCCGCACCGAGAGAATATTATTATGACCATTTTACTGTAGAAACATCTATCATCGTGCTCCCTAAAATGAGATCTTTATACATGCTGAACTGCATAGCGTCTCAGGTCATACAGCGGTGCGAAACTTCATTGGCGGCACCGCAGCTGGCCATGTGACCTTGTCCGCGCCGCGCCGAGTCATTGCTATGCCGGCTCGGGTGGTCAATTCATTTGCAACTCCCCACCCCCACCCCCACCCCCTTGACCCCCATCTCCGCCCTCGCTCACACTCAGACATACCCCAGCAGCACGTAACCGTGCTACTGGCACTGGTGGACCGCCCCGATAGCCGGCCCAATGCCAACCTGAGGTACTGCGGCGTGTGAATCAATCAATGTCTGCGACTGATTAGGTCCGAACTTTTATTAGTTTTTTTTTTTTTAGCTGTTTTACGCTTAACTCGTATTCCAGCATGGATTGTAACATGAGCTCTCTCTC